AGTGAAAGTACGAGTTGAATCATTTAAAGGTAAAGAAGTACACTCGTGTTTACAGATCATGTGCTATTTATACACTTTACACCACAACAATCTGTATATGATGAAAAACTGAGTTTCATGGCAGCATGACATTCATATGATACTCTATGAAGACAATTTATCAAATTTGTTGCATTTTTCTCCTGTATTATATCATAGTATATGAAAATAAATCTGCAGATCATCTAAAGATCAGGACCATGAACTGTGTCCTTTATGTTACGCATGAAATACAAAGTGTCAACATGCTACAGTGGCCTTGAACCTAGACATTGTTATATACACATAAGTGGCCAAACATGTCTGAAAACAGGCCAACACTTGAATAACAGAATCACATGTGTGACACCCATAAATGCTCATCTGAATGAAGCTCAGCAATCGAGTGACATACACATGTCTAGCTGCATATTTTTGACATACTGAGGCAGGAATGTGTGTTAAAACATTTCTAGGACAAATTAGAATATAAGTTAAAGATTAAATCTGACTTTTATGAATGGAGACACTGTTGTCTGACATCAGATGGCTCATTTAGGCCCAATAGATGATATTAAGGTGACGTTTTATCATGAATTGTATGTTAAATACAGGTATGTTTACTGTTTGTGGTGGTAGTTTAGAAACATGATATACTTTGTGTACATGAAACTTTTTTGGATTAATACAGTGGATTCACTTCGCTCCATCAGTTCAGTCTCAACATGTTTCCCTGATGCGCTGACCTCAGAGCAGCGTTCACTTATTCTGTCACTGCAGTCAGTGCTGTGGTCTGTTAATGAAACCAATGTAATATGAATCTCAGCCATTGTTCTGCTGTGAACAGAGACATAAGGAGTCATGGCAGTGGCAATATAGTAGACCTGGGATCAGCAGAAAACCTTCTTTTGTTAAAGTGCATGAATGCACAAGTGTTAATGCATCTCAAACCATAGGAGACCTTCTGCTCGACCATGTCAGACTTGCTTGAAACTTTTTAAAAAATCATATTCTCTCGATATTCAAAAATGTATTAGTGAAATTTTACATGTTTACACATCTACATTCCAAGAACCCTGATGACAACTAAAACAGGAAAACTGCCACTTTGTCCATATTAGGGAGACTGGGGCAACGTCCTGGAGCCAGGCCTGGGGTGGGGGGCTGGAGCTCGCCGGGGAGTGTCTGGTTGTTTGTGCGTATGCACTAAACGGCAGTTCAGAGTTTCCAGCCTTCTTGGAGTCAGTGGGCGGTGTCCTGGAAGGGGTGCCACCTGGGGACTAATGCTCACGTGGGCAATGATGGTAAAACCTGGAGGGTCGTGACTGGGAGGAATGGCCTGCCCGCTTGGAACCAAAGTAGTATTTTGTTTTTGGATGTCTGTGCTAGCCACGGGTTGGCCATAAAAAACACCAAAGGTTGATGATCGACTTCGTAGTCATATCATCAGATCTGCGGCCGTATGTTTTGGAAACTTGGGTGAAGAGAGGAGCAGAGCTGTCAACTGATCACCACTTGGTGGTGAATTGGGTCAGATGGCGGGGAAGACTGCCGGACAGATCTGGTACGACCCAAACGTGTAGTGAGGGCTATCTGGGAATGTCTGGTGGAGGCCCCTGTCTGTGGGATTTTGAACTCCCGCCTCTAAAAGAGTTTCTCCTGTGTCACGGGTGAGGTTGGGGACATGGAGTCAAAGGGGGCCATGTTCAAATCTTCCATTGCAGAAGCGGCTGTTAGGAGTTGTGGCCAGAAGGTCACTGGTGCCTGTCGTGGCGGCAACCCCAAAACCCGCTGGTGGACACCGGCAATGAGGGAAGCCGTCAGGCTGAAGAAGGAGACTTTTTGGGCCTGGCTGGCTCGGGGGTCTCCTGAAGCAGCAGGCAGGTACCAGCTGACCAAAAGGGCTGCACCTGTGGCAGTCATGCAAGCTAAAACTCAGGTGTGGGAGGAGTTTGGGGAGGCTATGGAGAAGGACTTTCAGTCGGCCTTGAGGAAGTTCTGGCAAACCGTATGACACCTCAGGAAGGGGAGGCAGGGATTCGCCCACGCTGTGTACAGCCGAGGAGAAGAACTGCTGACCCAGACTGGAGATCTTGTTGAGCAGTGGAAGGAGCACTTTGAAGAACTCCTGAACCCAGTAATCATGTCCTCTGCTGCGGGGGCAGAGCCTAAAGACTCAGGGTTTTCTGCATCCATATTCATTGTTGGAGGCTGCTGAGGTAGCTAAGAAGCTCCTCGGTGGCAAAGTGCCAGGTGTTGACGAGATTCGCCCCAAGATGCTAAAGGTTCTGGACACTGTCGGACTGTCATGGTTGACACGTCTCGTCAGTGTTGCGTGGGCATTGAGTACAGTGCCTGTGGAGTGGCAGATGGGGGTGGTGGTTCCCATTTTCAAAAAAGGGGGACCAGAGAGTGTGTTCCAATTGTCAGGGCATCATACTTCTCAGCCTTCCAACTTTTCCGGGGAGGCTGGAAAGGAGGCACCGACCAACTGTCGAACCTCGGATTCAGGAGGAGCAATGCGGATTCCGTCCTGGTTGTGGAACAGTGGACCAGCTCTTTACCTTTGTGGAGCTGCTGAGGGGGGCATGGGAATTCGACCTGGCAGTCCACATGGGCTTTTTGGAGCTGGAGAAGGCCTATGACTGTGTACCCAAGGAACTCTGTGGGGGGTACTGAGGGAGTATGGGGCACCAGGCTCGTTGCAAAGGGCCATTCAGTCCCTGTACAACCAAAGTGTGAGCTGTGTCCGCATTCTCAGCAATAAGTTGGACATGTTCCCAGTGGGTGCTGGACTCTGCCCGGGCTGCCCCTTGTCCCCGATCCTGTTTGTGGTTTTCATGGACAGGATCTCAAGGCGCAGTCAGGGTGAGGAGGGTGTCCGTTTTGGGGACCTCAGGATCCTGTCTCTGATTTTTGCAGACGATGTCGTACTGTTGGCTTCATCAGATCGTGACCTTCAGCACGCGCTGGAGTGGTTTGCAGTCAAGTGTGAAGTGGCTGGGATGCGGATCAGTACCTCCAATCCAAGGCCATGGTCCGCTGCCGGAAACCGGTGGATTGCCACCTCTGGGTTGGGGGCGCATTGCTTTCTTAAGTGAGGGAGTTTAAGTATCTCGGGATCTTGTTCACGAGTGATGGGAAAATGGAGCTTGAAGTGGACAGGCAGCTCAATGCGGCATCAGCAGTAATGCGGGCGCTGTACTGGACCGTCGTGGTGAAAATTCAAAGATTCAAGAAATAAATATAGATATGAGTATATAT